ATTTCTACCCACTGCTTTATAACAAAAACAAATAATAATTGAACAAAAGGAAAAAGTTGATTACAAAAAAAAAAGAAAAGCATCGTTATATACAAATACAAAAATACAAGTATAACAGATCCACAAATACGAATAAAAATTAAAAGAGTTAATTATAGGAAATTTCACGATCCGTAAAGCTTCAACACCGTTTGTTCTTCCTTGTTCTCCGCCGCTTCCTCTCGCTCCATGAGAGATGTAATTCGTCTCAGACAAGCTTCTTCCACATTTCTCTTAGCTCCTCCAATCCCGCGATTTCGCATCTCTTTGTCTCGTTTCTCTTTGCTCCTTCTCCAAGTTTTGTGTCGATCTCAGAGTAGTAGATCGTCGTTGGAGGAATCGAACAAGTCTCGCTGGAACTCAATCGGTATGTACTCGTACGATTTCCAGAATGTATCGAGCTGATTGTCGTGTCGTAGAAGCCCTAATTTCCTGGGTATGATGATGTTGCTTAGAAACTTTTGATTCTCTTTCTTTGTGACAATGGTTGATAAAAATGGTTCTACAATTGGGTACGTAGCCCGGAATTTGTTGCTCTGCTTATTCGTTTTCACGACCATACTCTTTGCTCTCTCTTGTTACTTTGTGTTGCGTTCCACTGCTCATAATCGTTTCCTTAGCTCCACATTTCCACCCAAATCATTCACTGATGATGTGAATGTGAAAGGAGTAAAACGGGACAAGGAGGATTGTAGATGCAATAAGGATAAGAAGGCGATGGCTCCTCTTAAAGTTTATATGTACGACATGGATCCCGAGTTTCATTTCGGATTGTTAGATTGGAAACCTCAAGGGAAGAATAGTGTATGGCCTGATATTCAGAAGTATATACCTCCTTATCCTGGAGGATTGAATTTGCAACACAGCATTGAGTATTGGCTCACGTTGGATCTTCTTGCATCGGAATATCCAAACGCTCCAAGGGCGATTGCTGCGAAACGGGTTCATAACTCCTCTGAAGCTGATGTTATATTTGTTCCATTTTTTTCATCGCTGAGTTATAATCGGTACTCTAAGGTGAATCCTCACCAGAAAACTAGCAGAAATAAGGATTTGCAAGGAAAGCTTGTTACTTTTTTGACTGCTCAAGAGGAATGGAAGAGATCCGGTGGTAGAGACCATGTGGTTCTTGCTCATCATCCAAATAGCATGTTGGATGCTAGAAACAAGCTGTTTCCTGCAATGTTTATACTCTCAGACTTTGGAAGGTACCCGCCTACTGTGGCAAATGTTGAGAAAGATATCATTGCGCCTTATAAGCATGTCATCAAAGCATACGAAAACGATACGTCCGGTTTTGATAGCAGGGAAATTCTGCTATACTTTCAGGGTGCAATCTACAGGAAAGATGTGAGTTCTTCTGCTACCTTGCTTTAGATGTTTGAATTCTGAGATATTTTTCCTACCTCTACATATGTTACCATAACAAGTTAAGAGTCCTTTCGATCAAACATTAAATATGGTTCGCACTGATGTGTCGTATATCTCAGGGCGGGTTTGTGCGTCAGGAGTTATTTTACCTCATGCAAGATGAGAAAGATGTGCATTTCTCGTTTGGGAGTGTGAGAAACGGAGGCATAAACAAAGCAAGTCAGGGAATGCACAACTCCAAGTTCTGCCTCAACATTGCCGGAGACACTCCATCATCAAACCGTCTCTTTGATGCCATTGCCAGTCACTGTGTACCTGTCATTATCAGTGATGACATTGAGCTTCCTTTTGAGGACGTTATTGATTACTCTGAGTTCTCATTGTTTGTTCGCACCTCTGATGCCTTGAAAGAGAACTTTCTGGTTAACTTAATAAGGGGAATAAGCAAAGAGGAATGGACACGAATGTGGAAGAAATTAAAGGAAGTGGAGAAATTCTACGAGTTCCATTTCCCGTCTAAAGTAGATGATGCAGTGCAGATGATATGGCAAGCGATTGCACGCAAAGTTCCGGGTGTGAAAATGAGGATTCATAAGTCGCGAAGGTATTCTGGATTTGTTTCTGAGACAGGGAAAGAATCAAGATGGTCACTGATACCCCGGAGTTTCTGGTGAATAAACATGAGTTTTGTTTTCCTCTTCATTTCCTCGGAGGCTTTTGACAGTGACATCAAATTGTTTTTGTGTAGAGATAAGTTTATGTTGGATCAGTGATTTGTGAACTTCTTTCTCCAAGTTATATACAGTCCTCATTCTAATTTTCTCTAAAGAAAAATAATAATAATATTGTAGGTTGATTTGCTAATTGTTCATTTTGATTTATTGTAAACATAGTTTGTTTAGAGCAGATAAACACAGCTATTGAGAATGTTAGTTTAATTTGAACGCTGCTTAGAGAGACAAGAAGATCAGCAAGGCTAGCTGTTTTATTTGTAGGTGAGTACATCATCAACAAACAACATAGTTAATGCTTTAAGTTAAAACATTGAAGCATATAACAGTTTGTTAGTTAGGTCTCATCTTCCATGCCCGTCGAAGATCGTGTGAGTAACAAACATTGAAAATGATGAATTTCTTAATCTGGGGATCCCAATGGCAGATGATGCTTCCATTGAAACTGGCATAAAAGCCCCAATACCTGGAGTATACGGCGAGAATTCCGGCAGAGGTAAGTCCAGGCTTAGGTATTGCACCACTTGTCCCATGGCAGGCCTTGATTCTGGCATAGCATTTGTGCAGAGCAACCCAAGTTTCAGAACCATCTCGGCTTCCATGGATAAGAATCCTCCTCCCAATCTTGGATCTATGGTCTCGAGTAAGGAACCCTGTTTCCAGCATTCACAGACCCACTTGACCAAATATTGTTTTCCGACCGGCAGCCCAGGTTCCACAGGCCGCCTTCCAGATATTACTTCAAGAAGGAAGGCACCAAATGCATACACATCTGTTTTCGTAGAAGCTCCCGTTGTTATTAGCTCAGGTGCCATGTAACCTACGGTCCCCACAGTGGCTGTTGCAGATAGGTTGGCTCCATGATCATAAAACTTGGCCATACCAAAATCGCCTAACCGTCCATTGAACTTAGAATCTAACATGACATTAGCAGCTTTTATATCCCGGTGCAAAACGACTTGCTTGGCTCCTGTATGCAGATAACTGAGAGCTGAAGCAATGTCCTTCAGAATGGAAATCCTTTGCAACCATGAAGGAGATGGGTTTTGGTCATGAAACAAGTACTGGTCAAGACTACCATTAGGCATGTACTCAGAGACCAGCAGTAACTCACCCTTTCTCCTACAATATCCGAGGAGAGGAACCAAATTTCGATGCTGTAAATTTCCCATAGTTACAACTTCTGCCACAAACTGTTTCATTCCTTGCTCTGCATCATGGGTTAGTCTTTTCACAGCTATATGCCTATTTAGGGGCAAAGTTCCTTTGTAGACTTCTCCAAACCCACCTTTCCCAATACGACAATCTTTGCCAAACCCATTTGTTGCTTTGTACAGAGACTTGTAGGAGAATCGGTGTGGGCCATATTCCTTTTCCCATGATTCTCTTACTTCTGCAAACTTGTTTCTCCTGTACAAATAAACTCCTCCGAGAATCATCAGCACAGGAATCACCAATAAGACAACCAAACCAATAAGCAGTGGAGGTAATTTCTTTTTTTCCTCTCTAGGAAGCGGAACCTGAGGGAGTTTGGAGAGGTCCAGGGTCCGTAATACTTCTTTGCTTCTACCAAAACTCCACCCGAGTATATAATGGTTACTAAGCAGGTTTCCTGTTGATGCAGAGAACCCAACATACATCTTATCTTGAAAGATTTCTGAAAGATTGATGGCTCGTGATAGAAGAGGCCGATTTGGTTTCTGGATTTCTAAAGGGGCCAACGAGACATTGAGCAACGATCCATCATAATCCACCCAGACCTGGATAGGCTCCCCACTCAAGAGATTGATGCTTATATTCTTCCCTAACTCGCTGGAAAAGTATGACGGCAGAGCAGATTCAATAGATATTGGGCTGTTCACATCAATCCCGACATGAGGCTTTTCCAACTCATTAAACTCTACTGTCTTAACAGTATCAAGCTCAATAGCTAGCAAATGAGAAGAAGAAGTCCCAGTAGTTGAGCTGTTGAAGACGCCCATGTACTGAGTTGCATATGCATGAGAGAGATCCATGGAAGGAGATACAACAAAGGCAATCCCATGGCCACCATCAGCTCCCAACTTTGGAGGCACCAGTGCACACACAAAATGTGTATAGAAGGAGAGTGATGAAGATGGATCAAAATCAAATGGCTGTTTGAAGAAAGCGTGACCCATCTGCAACTCTGTAGTATTTGTCAACTGCAAAAGCCCACCAGGTAGAATCATAGCATTCCCATCAACAAAAAGATCTGCTTGATCGAAGCCATTGTAGACAAATCCAGTTTCTTGTTGAGCAGAAAGGCAAACCAGATAAACACAGGAGAAGATCAAAACCATATGCAGTGTACACGCCATTGCTACTGAAAGAGAGAGACTGAACTTCATGGATATAATATTTCTCTCTGGTAACAAGCAATCTCTTGAGCTGCAAAACAAAGTCTCCTCATAACTTCAGGACAAGAAGTCAAACTTAATTTTCAACATTCCATGTCCTCCACATTTCGTAGAAATTGTATGGAACAATTATATTCCCGAAAATAGGCATCACAAAGTTGACTTGGTAATAATATAATCAAAGATGAGCGTGACATAGTAATTACTGCATAATCTAATCCATCATGTAAATTAGATATCATCGGAGAAACATCTTATGGTCTACTCTTGTTATTCCAGGGTAAGAAAACAAAAGCAAATTAAGTACTTCCCTTTTGCAGAAGTAGTTCAAGCTACTCCCATAGAAATCTCAAATGCCTTGGGCACAAGCTGGTTCTAGCATTCAGAAAGTCAGAGTTTGATAACACAGATAATCAATGGTCTGACCCTAAGTCACCTTAACTTTACAACAGAGACAATCCTAAGTCCAGAGAAACAACAAACCAACTTTTCTTGGTTTAACTTTGACGAATAACTTGGGAACAGATGCATCACAATCTTTAGATTAGTTTTTTCAGCCTAAGTTAGTTTACATTACGTTCCAAAACAAGTGAAGACTAAGATGAATCCAGAGGCAAATCCAATCGTTTTCATATTAAATACCAAGAATTTGATTAATAAAAAATAGCTGACCAGGTCACAAAGTCACATTCTCTGATCAAGAATTCTAACTAAACATAAAACAACAACAAACAACCTTTTTTTGGTCAAACTTTGATGAATTCCTTGGGAAGAGATGTACCACAGTCCTTGGATTAGAATTTTCAGCCTAACCAAGTTTATGTAACGTTCTAGACGAAAGTGAAACACAAACAAAGTGGAATCCAGAGGCAAGTCCTATCAGTTTCATATTAACTAGATGAGTATATGAGTTCGTATGCACACGGGTTCTGAGTAAAATTTATTTTATTTATATTAATAACGCATCTTTTCATTTGTATGCTCTGAATCATACAACTTGTTTTCCAATTAAATTCCCCATGAGTTGAAAATAAATTTGTTTCCGCACAGGTCAGTTCCCTAGTGATTATTAAAAACACAAAACAAAATATGGTACACCCTTTAGGAGATCAAGACGATGGCTTCAAGTTCCTAATTGCAGCGGCCATAATCTGAGAGAAGTCCACACGTGAAATCAGATCAGACGAACAAAGTAAACTATTGGTGAAATATGTAAACAATATACGTACCCAGGCAGACCCTGGATCAAACCTTCTTTCACCAATACTTCTATTCCTGTCCTCTCTCTTTTGGGCTATACTTTTATCAGATTCATCATTGTAGTTCACTGTCAATTTTGTATCATCTTCCACTCTGCTGCTTCCACTGCATCTTTCTTCTCCCATCTCTGTGCGTTTGTTCTTGCTTCCTGTTGTATCAGCTGCTGCTTCTATACCAGAAGTTCCCTCGGAACCATGAACCGGCTTACCTAGGGATTCTGCATCCTCTTCAATGGCTTTGCTCTTGCTTCTTGTTATACGATCACCAATACTATTTGTTTGGGGACTTTCTCCCTTCTTCGAAAATTGTGTAGCCGCTGCTCGTGCACCAGCGATTGCGGCTGTGAGACTGGTAACTTGTTCTGTCTCAAGGTTTTTCTTCTCTTGTGTTGTACAGGAAATAGAACCGGGGTTTAAAGAGACAGGGTCTTTTGGGTCTGGAAGAGGGAATTTCACCGCAAAAGGGTTTTGAGAAGGTGTAAGGCCTCTAGCTGCTGCCACATGAATCTGTTTCATATAAAAATACAGTAACTGTTACTACTGTAGAACCCCCGGTTCTTAGGTTTAGAAGAACATTACCTTGTTTTCTAAGTTATAAACGCCCTGGTACCCGCGCATCTCAAATGGAATAATCAATTTCTGGAGGAATTCATAGAACCCAATGTAAAATAGTTAACCTAAACAAAAAACTGTAAAAGAAACCAAAAGATGAATTGAACTTCACCTGTGGTTGCTCACATAGCCAACAAAAATCAGTTTGTCCTTCAAGCCTCACCTATAAAACCAAAAACAGTCTGTGTTTGCTTAATATACATACTAATGAATTATCGATAACGAGCTTTTTCCATGTTCAAAGAAGAAGAAAAATAGTTGTACTCCTTGAGGTAAAGCCTCCCAGTTCTGAAGTTCATCACAGCTGACACAGCCAACAACCTCAACACATCCTATACAAAAAAAAAAAAAACCGAATATAAGATGGTCCAGTGAAGTCTTCTCTAACTTATACTCTAACATAGAATTTGCGATTCAAATATTAACAAGCTAAATAAATAGTACCTATAAGTCTTGAAACTGGGTAATGTTGGGGAAATTGAATATCTGTGATCCCATCGACAGCATAAATTTCTCTGTAAAACTCTTCCATTGCTTTGATTGTGGCTTCATCAGGGACTTTACTAGCAGCATGAATCCATAAACGACCTGTATTAAAGTAATCACCTTTTTAACTC